CCCTGGCCATTTTCGAAGCTCTTTGTGACCCGAATTAGGCTTCATAAGTCTGCTAAGATGTTGTGTCATGTCCGTTTCGGGTTTCGGGTTTAATTAAGTTTAGTTTAGGGTTTAGGATGACCCAAACCCCGACCAAACCCTAAATAATGCACGTAAAAACATAATTCTAGCCCGAGGGACCTAGTTAGAAAGCCAAAAATGCATTTTCGGGCATCCAAAATGCTGTTTTGGCTTTCCCTAGCCATTTTCGATTCTCTTTGTGTTCAGAATTAGGCTTCACAAGTCTATAGACCGTAAAAATGATTAGAGCCGAAAATGGCTAGGGAAAGCCAAAACAGCATTGCGGATGCCCGAAAATGCGTTTTTAGCTTTCTAACTAAGTCCCTCGGCTCGAAATATGTTTTTACGCTGTATAGAGCCCAAAATTGAACGGTTTAGGCCTTGGTTGCTGCTGTCCTAGTTTTGTTCGGGAATGTGCTTCTGGCTTTCCGACTAAGTAATTATGTTTATCGGCATTAACTTCTGATGTTAAGAATGAATGACATGGTTTTCAAGCACAGCTTGGGTCCCCGGCGCTTCTGGCAGGTGTAATCCAGCATCAGGCGCACCTCGACAACATGTTTCTTGAGAGGCTGGCATCTAATTAATCTCACCGTGTCGCCCAGGACCCAAGCGATCGTCCAGGATGTAGTAGCTCAGCACCTGCTCTAAACAAAAGCAGCAGAGAAAGGAGGAAACCTAACTGGACAAAATTTTCAGCTTACGCCATGGGAAAGCTCCTCATTTTCCATCTCTCAGACACGCCCTGGCTGACGCTCAGGCAGTGAGACTCAGACAGTGACATGGCCGGGCCACGGCCATCAAGTCTTTTTCTATAATTAATTGCGCCTTAGGGAGAATTATCTGAAATGTAATACCTCCAAGTCTTGGCAGCCTGGCCAAAATGTATCACTGAGGCTGCCTCAGCCGGGCTGACACTCAGACGGTGAGACTCAGACGGGGACGGGTCAGGACTGCCAAGTCTTTTTCTAGAACGGCGAACTAATTCTCATACCTCTTGATCCTGGCCAAAAACCACCATTCCAGGACCGATCGTCCCTCTCTGCTGCCACGGCCATCGTCTCCCCAACCACCATTCCAGGCCGATGCTCCTTCGGGGCCGATTGTGCCCTCCTCTGCTGCGGCCATCTCCAGCTGCCACCATTCCAGACCGATTACGCCAGGGCCTCTCCACCTCAGGCCCTCTCCAGTTGCTGTCCCAAGCAGTCCAGTTTGTGTCGGCATGAGAGCCGCCGTTTTCAGCAGGTGCGCTATCAGCCTGGTTCTCATTGAGCTGTGACTGCAGCTCCTCCACCATCTCTTCAAGCTCGGCGACGCGATCCCTGAGCGCAGCGAAATCAGCCTCCTCTTGCCACTTAAAAGCCCGGGTCCCCTCTTCCAGTTTCTTGGATGCACAGGCGGTTTTCCGAATGCCCTTTAATTATCTCTATTGCTCCAGCTCTGCCAAGAAAAATCCGAGTTCTAATTACATGATGCACTGTACTCTGATGCTGCTGCCAAGTCTCGGAGCTACTCCACCCTCTCGCGGTAGTACTTCGAGATGGTGCTGGAGGTCGGCTCTGGTGGACCACGTGAGCGCTCAGGCGTGTCCTCCCAACCAAATAGCAAGGAAAGGTATAGTCAAGCAAAAAACACTAACACATCACTTGGAAAGCTTGACGACATCCTCGGGCTTTCGCTGCCGCGCTGCAGCAGCCGCGCGGTCAGGCATCTCCTCCCACCCAGACAAAGCACTTAATTAACGCGCAAAATTCATTGAATCAACTGAAGTCCCTGGGGACTGCTTCGGGCTCAAACCGCTGCGATGAAGAAGATGCTGCTGGCTCCGTTTCCTCCGCAACAGACAGCAAGAGAAGATGCAACGCTTGAATTTGAAACCTTCGTGTTGGAAGCGGCGATCAAACAATTGCAGTCCTTGACGGCATCCATGGGCTCAGGCTGCAAGAAAGAAGACGCTGACGCTGTCTCCTCCCATCGAGACAGCAGGAGAAGATGCAGTGCTTGAATTTGAAACCTTCGTGCTGGAAGAGGCGATCAAACAATTGCAGTCCTTGACGACATCCTCGGGCTCAGGCGGCAAGAAAGAAGACGCTGACGCTGCCTCCTACCCAGACAGCATGAGAAGATTCAACACTAATTAATTAGTTAGCAAGCTTGAGCACGGTTGATTTAGTCGTTAAGTAATTTCCAACCTTCGTAATTACGCGCAGAGCTAGTCATATCAAGTCCTTGTCGACATCCTCAGGCTTTTGCGGCCGCGCTTCAGGAAGACGTGTCTCAGGGGACTCCTCCCATCCAGACAGTTTGAGAAGACTCAACACTAATTACTTAGTTAGCAAGGTTCAGCACGGTTGATTTAATCGTTAATTAATTCCCAACCTTCGAAATTACGCGTAGAGCTAGTGATAGATAAGATAGGCTTTTGCTGAGGCGCTTCAGCAGGAAATGTCTCAGGCGACTCCTCCCATCCAGACAGCAGTGAGGGTGATGGTTACATCAAATCAATTCCCTGACGACGTCCTTATTCTGCTGCTGCGCTGCACCAGGCGCCGTCTGATCCATGTCCTCCCATCGAAACAACAAGAGAAGATGCAACACTTGCTCAGTCCAGGCAAAATACTTAATTAGTTAAATAAACAATTCATTAATGTTTTTGCTGCACTTTGCGTCTGAGGCCACGACCTGTCGACTGTACCCTTACAAAGCCGGATTCGGCTACCCGTAGGAAGAAAACCTA